CGTTACGTTCAAATCGGGACGTATTATCAAACTGTGGTTCACTGTCTCCGCACTGATATGTCTGTTGATTGTCATCAGCGGTAAAGTGACGACACATGACAATCATGTGGACGACGTTTGCGTCAGTCTATTGATTGGCATTGGATTCGCGCTATACGTCTGTTACACACAATTGAATCGATTCGCGGATCAGTTCGGCGCCAAACAGACGGACGAGACGTACGAAAGCGGGTCTCAAATGAGTTTAACCGAAGAGGAAGAGAACCAATGGTTTTGGAAGTACTTTCATATCCCAAGAGTTAATCTCTTGAGACGAAGCGCACGATATTTTCGGAAACGAGAGCCCATTAACGCTATACCAGTGGTTCGCTGTACTAACGGCTCCTCTTACAAGGACATCAATAACCCGCTCTCACAATAAGGCGCTCCCTCGTTATTATTGGATGCTATTGTGGGTGTGTATGTAATGTAATGTATGGGTTAAGTCAATGAGGGGGCAGAAAGAGGGAGCGTGAGAGCGCCTTATTGTGAGAGCGGGTTATTGAAGTCCTTGTTATGTAAACCCAGCCTTTGAACACAAAGACACCATCGATAGGGACACCACATCCAGACCTCATTCAGCATATATTGATAGTTATAGGCATTAGAGTAGAGTTTGAGACCAATTTATTTATGCATTTTCGTTACGTTCAAATCGGGACGTATTATCAAACTGTGGTTCACTGTCTCCGCACTGATATGTCTGTTGATTGTCATCAGCGGTAAAGTGACGACACATGACAATCATGTGGACGACGTTTGCGTCAGTTTATTGATTGGCATTGGATTCGCGCTATACGTCTGTTACACACAATTGAATCGATTCGCGGATCAATTCGGCGCCAAACAGACGGACGAGACGTACGAAAGCGGGTCTCAAATGAGTTTAACCGAAGAGGAAGAGAACCAATGGTTTTGGAAGTACTTTCATATCCCAAGAGTTAATCTCTTGAGACGAAGTGCACGATATTTTCGGAAACGAGAGCCCATTAACGCTATACCAGTGGTTCGCTGTACTAACGGCTCCTCTTATGTAAACCCAGCCTTTGAACACAAAGACACCATCGATAGGGACACCACATCCAGACCTCATTCAGCATATATTGATAGTTATAGGCATTAGAGTAGAGTTTGAGACCAATTTATTTATGCATTTAATTATTAACATAATATTTATGTTCATTAAGTTCTTCAATAGTTTTAACAATAATTAGTATTTGTTTTCAAAGAATTCTGTTTTCTATAAATATATTCACTCTTTTGTAGAATTAATTTAACACAAAATATATAATGAATTATAAAATATATGTTTTAAAAACGTGGTCTAAATTTATTTCATGATAATTAACTAAATAGTTAAATATTTGCAAAACGTCTTTCATTGAGTCGTTGTCTGACTTTAAGTTTGAGGAGATGTGAAGAGTAGAGACACCGGAGAGGAGACAACAGAAGTGGCAAACGATTCAATGAAGGAATCGTTACTCTCATAAAGTCGTAAGCGATGCCAAAGTCATGGCTATTGTGTTCAATGTCTGGAATTAAAGGCATTTTCGCATATCTTGTGCTAAAATGTGTTAATATAGTGAAGTTTGCGTTCATTTTTCTGCCCACTTGTATGGCCTCCGAGACAGTCGAGTGGAACTGATCTCTGGCCAAAGGCACCAACGAGTCGTCTTGTGTCGCCTCGTGTATCAATAGATGACAATTACGTCCCCTTTCTATCAATTGATCGCTCGGTTCGGCGTCTCCTGAATACACAATCTTTTTGTTGTCTTCCGTTTCCAACACAACTCCAAACGAATCCAAACAATGGATGACTGGAATCGCTTCCACTGCCTTCAGTCTTAATTCTTTTAATAATTGGTTGATTTCAATATTCTTGAGTTTAGTCGTTGAATACGACACGTATTGAGAGCTAATGTCTTCAAACTGTTGGTTATATCTTCGCAACCAAACGATTACAAGCGGAGGAATAAATACAACAATTGATTGATTGGTGTATTTGTAATGATTCTTAATGAGCCGAATGAGTCCCATGTGATGATCGGTGTGCATATGAGAGACAAAAATCGCTTTCATATTAGCATAAATTGTTTGCATATGTGTTGAGCCATAAAATCTCAATAACTGTCCGGAAGTGTCTTCACCGCAATCCAGAAGGAGTGCCGACTCTTTACTGATATTCACTAAAATTGACGAAACGTTACGATTAGCTGTCGGTTGAGCCGAAGTGGTGCCCAAAAATACAATCTCCGGATAATTGTCTTCATTTCCATTGACTTGGTTTTGACTTTTTTCTAACAAATGTTGCTTTACTTTCAACTCACGGATGCATTCCTCCAAACCCTCTCTTTCGCCCAATTCATGGTCTTTGAGAGCGTCTTCTTTCAAGAACTTGAGATTCACTAATTCCAGGCTTTTAAGAGACAATCCCTTCTCTATCGGTGGTCTCAACACGTATTGAAGTCCTGTTTGGCATTCAATTAGATTCCGGTTTTCATTTAATAACTTATATTTAATTTCTTTCTTCGTTTCAATTCTTTCGTTAATCAAAGGAAACACTTTTGTGTCCAAAGAATTCAATTGATATTGAGTTCTGTGTAATGAAAACAAACCAAAGTTTGGGTTCTCTTCGTTAAGAACCAAATGTTTGGTTTCGTCACTGAATTCACGAATCAATAATTGATAAGCACTGGAAGTGATCACACATTCGGGTGTCATATGAACCACACATTCAATCAAATGCTTATTGTTGTGTAAATTATGTGTAAATTCTTTATTTTGTAAAATACAGCTCAAGAACTGTTCGGACGGACAGTCAATAATCACTACACACTGTTCCGGCTCTTCGGGTGTCAACACTTGCGAGCAATCGATTCGAACGCCATTTTCGAGAACAACTGATTCGCGCGAAAGAAGTTTTGGTAATAGATGTCGAGGAATATTCAGATGAAAGCACTTATCCAACAAAAGTTGACCACTTTTTGCCCCAATATTGCAAAAGTATGCAATTGTTGTCACATTCTTGTCGTCACTATCGATAATAACTGCATTTATTTTAACACTTTTATCGTTAAACAATTTCATGTCTTGAAGTCTATAATCAATTAATTTAAACAAATTTGTGTCTAATTTATGGTCGAAAAAAGAGATGAAATCAAAGAGTTTTTCGGAATCTATTGAATGTATTGAGAAGTGTTTGACTCCGGAATCCAATTGAGTTAAGAGTAGACCAGAAATGCCCGAAACGCGGGACCAGTTGTTTGATGTGATGAACAGATTCTGACATTTGGTTAGTTTTAAACTATAAAAACACAAATAATGGTAAGTATTAAATGTCTTGAGCGGTGATAATCAATGCATACTTGTATTGGGGAACCAATCGCTGCAAACCTTCGCCACAATTAAAGAGATATAACTTGTGGTCAACCGATAGGCAGACAGAGCTGGCGTTGGCTTCGGATCCGTTGCCCAACACGTGAAGAGCGGTCGCAGCGGTTGTCTTGTCATCACTTCTTGAGCGCGATTTGTGGCGACAAATGGTTTGCAAAACATTTAAATCACGTCTTAATAGAGGTTTGAATTGAAATGATTTGCGAAACACTTTTGCATACATTTTGACACAACATTACAACACATGCAGTGATCACGTGATCAACGCATGGCTTCTCCACCACAACAACAGTGAATGCATTGTCTGTTTGTTTGTT